GATAGATAGATAGATAGATAGATAGATAGATAGATAGATAGATAGATAGATAGATCCATCCATCCATCCATACATACATACATAAATTCATAAAGATTGTTTTTGTGTATGTCAAGCAGCAACCCTAGAATACTGTGTTCTTAGAACATAGAGACTCATCTGTGTAATGGAGACTTAGTAGTGTTTCCTTAGTCAGTTCTCAGATCAAATAACCAGAAATGATTTCATTCCTTATTTCCACCATCATTGTTATCAAATGTGTTGGGCCTCATAGTCCAAATTATATATTATCTTACAGCATGTATTCAGAAGAATGACTACTTGTGCCAAAATAACAAGGTCTTAATAAGGAAAGTGTCAAGTGTAGCCCTAATTACTTGGCTTTAAAAATACTGTGAATAATCTAAAAGGTCCATCTATTACTTAATATCAGCTCAGATTCAGTTGACGGCACTAAAATGACAATTTGGTATTTCATGGAATTTAAAAATCCTGTGCCCTAATTAAGTCCCCACACAGGTAATTATTCCATCTGTAATTTCACCAAGATCCTGGGATGTTCACTTCGATGCACTGCACACTCTCGCCGAATGCCATTAAGCAGCTGTCACACTTTTCCTCCACTAGTTTGGGGATCACTATATAGTTTTTTGGAACTTTTCCTGAATAGGTTTTACATTTATATGTTATTTTGTCCACTTTGAGACTGCAGACACTTTTGTTTTATGTAACTGTGGCCTGCAAATTGGTAAAAGAAAATTTCATTAAGAGACCAAAAGGACACATGTATATGCAAAGTGAATATTTGCTCAGACAGGTAATCCTTCATGAATGCAAAATGCAGATTTTGTGTGAATACATCAAAGAACCACAGACTGAATAACAACTAATTTTGGAAGGACATTTGGTGGATATTTTTAAAAAACTTTATCTTGTAGAATTACAAGAAGAGAAAAAGAGCTACATATATGAAATCAAGTCTTAAGACTTCATTTTTGTGGTATTATATTATCAAACAGAATGCAGAATTAAAATTGAACAAAACTAAAGCAAGCTCTCCTGACTGTGGAAAGAAAATAGAGACAGAAAAGAAATTGAATTTCACATATTTGTTTCAAGATAAAAATGAATTATTATAAAATAGACCTGTATTCGTAACTTAGACTCTCCTATTTGGATTTCATACGCTGAAAGCAATCATAGGACTGAAGGGAAATTTATTGTAAAGTCACCTGGGATATCACTTCATAAACACAGAAAACAACATTAGAAATTGAAATGGGAATAATGAAAATTTCATTTTAAAAGAATGTAAATGGAAGGCAAGGAAAGAACGGCTGAGGCACATGAGAGAAAAGCATTCCTCCTCTTGAACTCCTATAGATACTGAAAAGTGTTGTCCATGAACAGGATACTGGTGCCACAGAAAAAAGGATTGGATGTTCCCCTCTGTACCTAGGGGCTTAGTCTGTTCTGAGGACACTTTCTATGTTCGTACACTGGATGAGTCTGTCTTCCTGTCTCAGGCGTACAGCCTAAGAGTCTGTTAGGGATCTCCGAACCAGAGGCAAGATGCAGGCTGGCCAGTAGCTCTGTCTGGTTGGGGGAGAGAAGGGGTTGGTCAGTGGGGCATTTGGTGGATGTCATCCATGACTGACCCTCTCAGCAAAGTGCAGAGTTGGTACCATCCATTGCACGGAGACAATGATCCTGCAGAGTTAACCACAGCAGATCGTTCAGTATCTAAATCTAGGTGCCTTCCACCATAAGTAGAGTGTGTTTGTTCATCAGTAGCTGAACATTTTGCAGACTGTAAAAATGTAAATGATCCTGAGGCTCATTATTGCACCTTGTGGATCACAGATTACACAGTTGCTCTTCTCCTTTATGTGTCTTTTATATCTTAATTTGGGTCCTAGTGTGCGTATGTATATCACATCATGAAAGTATAAACTACCACAAAAAGACTGTGGAGGAATTGTTATATGCCTTGAGACAGAATAGAAAAATAATGCAGATTTTAGTCTTATCAATGTATTCTATATTCCAGAGCCTAAGTATTGAGTCAGGGATTCTATTCCACAAAACTTAAATGAGAAAGCAATCACCTCTCAGGAACAAAATGGCAGACCTCTATCTCATCAGGTGGTGCAGAGGATTACTTTGGTCAAGATAAAATTAAGAATATTTCAAAGAAACCAAAGGAACACTCAGCTTTGTAAAATGCTAAAAGAACATGGGCTTTGGAGTAAGAGAGATTCTATACTCATTCACTTAATATCTCTGTGTTCTTGGCCAAATTAATCTCTCAAAAAATTTAATAAGTAAATTTTCTTTATCTGTATAATAGGTATCTACATTCAAATAGGGATTAGGGATAACAGGTAAAGTTCCTATTACCTACTAAGTGCTTAATAAATAGTTGATATTATTCTTACAGCATTGGGAAGTGAATTTTCTTGGTTGTACCCAAGTTATTCAGCAGAGGCAAGCAAAAGGATGCCTGTATTGTGAATCTTTGGCCCTGGGGTAGGTGGGACTGTTGGCCACGTGGAGTGACACTCTTGTAACTTACCCTCCAGGCTTTACTTACATTCATCAGCTGTTAACACTCATTGTTGCACTGGAAATGTGGAAAACTCTTCACCAGGACCATCTAGCACCACTGTGTGGCTAGATTTATCCAGCCAGTTACAGGAAGATGATGCCTTTAACCTAGAGTATAATAGAATGTTAGAGTTGATATATATGGTGGCTATCAACTGGTGGACCATGGACCCCTGGTTCTTCCAAGTTACTGCAAGCATTGCAAGTGCACATCAAGCATTTGAGACAGAACAATATCATGTGTGTGTGTGTGTGTGTGTGTGTGTGTGTATAGCACTATTTTATTGCTGTGATTAATAAAATACAAATTCATTTAGAACACTGTTGAATTCTTAGTAGCTTTTTATCATGTTGTATTTCCTCCGTCAGCCATTATAAAATATACAACTCTTACATCAGGGTGGATATGGTACAAAGGAATCATAAAATCATTTAATATTATACAGGAGCCCTCATGCTCAGGAAAGTCAAGAACTGGTGCTCTCATTTCCAAGGTCCAGGAAAATGTTGTGTGATATACTCACTTAAATAACTTGTTAAGGAGAACACTGGTGAGAATTCTGGTCTCCTGATCCCTAGTCCAGAACTCCCAACAGTGGAAATGTTTGCAGTATTGCTTCTGGAAAAATCTGAGATGTATTTAATGTTCAGATTAGTATGCATGAACTTGAGTATTGACAGAAAATGGGTTACGTGGAAAACATTTAAAATGGTACCTGACACATATAAAGCCCTCAATAAGTGGTAGCTATTATCATGATGGCTATTCAGTAAGGAGTGGTTTTGTCACTTTTTCTCTCTGTTGCTCAGAGTAACTTATCACATTCCAAATGTAATATTTTAAGTTATATCATTTGTCTCTCAAGCAAGTGGCTTCCATTTTTACTTCTCATACTCTCAGAGTGGGAGTGTTGGGTATTTTAAAACTCCCTTCGAGAAGTCTTGTAGGAGTAGAGGCTCTTGGCATTAGTACTGAGGCTAACTTCAGAGGCAAGTCCTTGCAATGCATCATACTGTAGCCTCAGACAGCTAGTGGCCTTTAATGTGCATGCTTGAAACAGAAGTCAGTTTTGTGGTTGAATTACCCATTGGGATTTGGCATATTTCTTTGAACTATGGAGATTTAAACATTTACTTTCCATCAGTATTTTTTAATGTGTCCTCCCCTATTCCCCTATGCCCTTAGAGCAGATTTTTTATTTAAGAGATTTAACATTAGATCAAGATTTATTTAAATTGTGTACCCAAAGCTAGTCTCCAGAGATTTGGTGTCTCATTGCACAATGTGGCCCACAGGTGACAGCAGAAAACAATGACTGAGAGAGATTTGTACCTGACTATACAAATAGAGTACCCATTTCATCAAACTATAAACCATCCAGGCTAACCACAGTAGTTAAATATAAAGTTGCCCTTGGGTTCTGCAGGTAAATTAAGAAGCAAGTGTTACCACTATATGTGTTTCGTTCTGAATTTGTTGTCAATGTCCATATTTAGTATGAGTTCCTTTGCTTTAGCTAACTACCTAGGAATTTGATTTCTAAGCTAAATACAAGAATACGTGGGGTTAGTATTTGTACATTGCCAAACAGAACTCTCTTATAGGGAACTCGCCCCAGGAAAGGAAATGAAAGGGCCAAAAGGAGTAAGCACTTCTGTATGTGCTGAACATGTCCATTTTAAGTAAAGGCAGATGACTTAACAGTAGTTTCCATAAATGGTTCTCATTCAGTCAGCTGTGTCAGGCAAGGACTTAGTGGTTGTGTGTCCCAGCTATTGGGCAGCAGCTTCATTAGAGGAAATCACCAAAAGCCTTGGTTTCTTCACAGAATGCAGCCCAGGGGAGCCTTACTCCCTGTCAGTAGAGTGGCTGAGGCATTCAAGCCCCAGTGATGATCTTCCCCTGCTGTTGAGAAGGTAACCCAGTTTAGAATAAATACACAAGAGGGGCACCTGGGTGGCTCAGTCGTTAAGCGTCTGCCTTCGGCTCAGGTCCTGGGATCGAGCCCCACATCGGGCTCTCTGCTCAGCAGGAAGCCTGCTTCTCCCTCTCCCACTCCCGCTTGTGTTCCCTCCCTCGCTGTGTCTCTCTCTGTCAAATAAATAAATAAAATATTTAAAAAATAAATAAATACACAAGAGGCAGCCCTAGACAGACTTTTTAGGAGTTACATTTGCATTATTGCCCTTTCCCAATGCCACAGCACACCTTTAAATATTCACCCTGTCACCCTTCCCACAAGAGCCCACTGTGTGCCTTGCCCAGGCCTGTTTGAAGCCAGTCCCCTATGCTGGGCCATTTTCCCTTTTCCCCTCTTCTCACAAAACTGCCCTATCATCCCATTCCCTTAAGACTTTGTATGTCTTTATACATCTTTATCTGTTCAAAAAATTAACGCCAAACATGACTCAGTAGTAATATGTGCCCCCTTCCCCACAGGTAACATATTTGCATTTTAGCAGCGGCTTTAAGCAAATGAAGATACTCAAATACTGAGGATTCTATGTCCTGACAGGCAGCAGGAGGGCCTTCCAGGAACAGGGAGTCCTTTGGTTCTCACCATGTGTGCCCAAAGGGCCTTGGACCAGCCCTGAGCAAAAAAGCGTAAATTATACTCTAATCCCCCCCCACCCTGGTCTGTTACTGCACTCACAGAAGTAACACTGTTGTTTCCAACCTCCCAGAAGTCTGTAACACTGAACAATTTTTCCAAGGAAGAGAAAAAGCACAGTTTAATAATGGGACTAATTTTCACAGTTTTGCAGCTGGGGCTTCCGTGGGGAGCTATACTTTTAGAAATAAGTGCCTCAATAATAATGGGCAGAGAACTTGCCAAGGGAGGGTATGGAGCATGATGGAGGAGGTTGTGATGGCAAGAAAGACCAATCAAAAACTAGGGGTGAAATTAAGGGTGTGCTTGAAAATGAGAAATGTGGGGAGATTTTCATATTTACATTTACTTTTTTAAAAAGATTTATTTTTTAAATTTTATTTTAGAGGGAGAGAGAGAGCACAGAGTGGGGAGGGGCAGAGGGAGAGAAAAACTTTTTTTTTAAAGATTTTATTTATTTATTTGAGAGAGAGAGAATGAGAGATAGAGAGCACAAGAGGGAAGAGGGTCAGAGGGAGAAGCAGACTCCCTGCTGAGCAGGGAGCCCGATGTGGGACTCGATCCCGGGACTCCAGGAGCATGACCTGAGCCGAAGGCAGTTGCTTAACCAACTGAGCCACCCAGGCACCCAAGGGAGAGAAAAACTTAAGCAGACTCTGCACTGAGCACGGAGCTGGACTCAAGGCTGTCTCACAACCCTGAGATCACGGCCTGAGCTAAAACCAAGAGTCAGAAGCTTAACCGACTGCACCACCCAGGGGCCCCTACATATACTTGATTCACAGGAAAAATAAGGTAGATTCTGAAGTGAAAATGAACAACATCTGACTTGTGGAAGAATCTGGCTGGTCATCTCTTTTTTTGGCTAATCTCTGATCCCATCACTGTCCGCTCAGTATTGGCCATATAAATGGTCCCCAAGGGGTCAGCTCGTTGCCAAAGACACTCCCCTTTGCCCACCCTCGATTTTCTGGTGCACTCTATGTGAGACAGTTTACTATTCTGTTTCTGTTATCGTGTGCAAAATTTTGCAACAAGAAACTAGCATTCCTACTCTCCTTCCATCAAAACACTCATAGATACTGTTTTAAAGCCAATGATGACATTTGGCTTTTTCAGAAAATGGGTTTTTCATATGCTTGTTACACAGACAATTTCTGTTTTTTTTTTTCTCTTTAGAGAGGGGAAACAGTTTGAAGTGTCACTTCTTTTCTTACAGGTAACCAATTTTAGCTCTTCTCTTGTTTAAAATTCAAAGGTTGTAGCCAGCCATTGGGCATGGATTAAGTGGTACATGGTTTGATTACATCAAATAGCTGCTTCATTTACTACCCATGCTATTACTGCTTTTATGCCATGTTTTAGTCAGAATAAGAAAATCTTGGGGACTTAAAGAGGATTTCTTTGTGACTCAATATTATCCAGACCCAGTGGGAATAGTTTTTGTTTAAAACACACACGCAAATATTTCTGTAACTTCTTTCCTGTGTGAAGTTGTGTAATTATAGCGACAAGCAGTAAAATGATGTCTAGGGCAAGGCATCAAGACAAGGAGAATGCTGGCTTGTCCTCCTGGCTATTCCTGGTTTGCCACAGCATTTGCTCTGAGAGGCAACATCTCTACAGGGCACGGTGCCCACTGTTGTGCTTCTAGACAGCACAGAAAATTGACTCATCTCCACTGCCGGCTCGAGTTGGATTTCCTGTAACTGTTCTCTGTTCTCAGATGATCCATAATTAGCCTGTCTCATAGTATGTACGACTTTGTAAGACACCTCTGGTACACACTCAGAAGTTTGACTTTGTATCTTCAAGGAAGATTACTCAGCAGACGTAAGTGCGCTATTTCCATACGCTTTGGGCAGGCAGCAGTGTTTGCTGTTACATTCCTCTGCATGTGGTGAACTACAGCTATCTCAGACACCTCCTGTGAATGACAATACCAGCCTGTTAGGAGATTTCTCATCTCTGAGGTCCTAGAGGATTTGCAGTCTGTAACACATGGGCTCAGAGTGGCTTGTTTTCTAGCAGTTTCATGCATAAAGAGGCAGGGATCACCAGTGTGTCTCCTAGACTATCAGACTCAGGGCTGGGCAGCAGCAAGCTTCATGAAGGAGGGAATGGGGGAGGAGGAGGAAAGGTGTGTGTCTGCCTTAGCTTCCAAATTAGATCATTAGCGACTCAGGCCAGAGATCATCTCTGCTTTTCCTATCTTAAGACTTAGTAGAACATTAGGCAAGCAGTGAATATGCAGTGCATGCTGACTGCCTGAAGGCCTCAGTTTTTATTTTAATTCATAGATGATGCCACAGAGATACTATTTCCATTCGCTTGAACTTCCTGCAACCCCGAAAAAGAGTTTTCTGTAACCCATTACTGAATGTTATTTACATTGAATGGAAGGTATCTCTAAATTGGTTTTAGATTGATCCCTCACAGAACTGCAGTCCTCATTGCAGAGAACAGACCTCTTAGCTGGTTGTGCTGTGAAGACGGTTATGACACCAGAAGTATATGTAGTTGTAAAGTGTAGGTGGCAACCCAAGGAAGGCACTGACACTGAAATTCTGTCAACAACTAAGATGAGGCAGTTAAAAAAAAGCTCATTCTGACCAAAAGTAATGGCATGCGGTCCCGAGAATCGTCAGCAGCCCACTAGGCTTCGGGAGACGGGCACTGTGTTGCCACTGTACTTCTGTCAAAAATGAGCTGACTGTTGTGGCACCTGGATGTCTCAGCTGGTTGAGCATCCGACTCTGGGTTTTGGCTCAGGTCATGAGCTGAGTCGTGAGATCAAGCCCTGCATCAGGCTCCGCAACCCAGCAGGGAATCTGCTGGGGATTCTCTCCCTCCCTCTCCCCCTGCACACATGCTCACGCTCTCTCTTGGTCTAAAAAATAAATAAATCAGGGGGCACCTGGGTGGCCCAGATGGCTAGGCATCCATCTCTTGGTTTCTGCTCAGGTCATGATTTCAGGGTAGTGAGATCGAGCCCCTCCCCTCCACTCGCTTGCTCGCTCTCTCTCTAAAATAAAATATTTAAAAAAATTTTAATTAAAAAAAATGAGTTGACCATACCTTTGTGGATATATTTCTGGACCTTCTGTTGCATTGAGGTATCATATCTTTTTGCATTTGATGAACTGTGTTAATAACAATAGCTTTACATTAAAATCACTTTAGGTAAGTTCTTCAACTCTGTACTTTTAAAAAAAATTATTTTGATTATTTTAGAATCTTTGCATTTCTGTATTCATTTTTAAAGCAGCCTATCTAATTTTACTAGATCTTGTCTAATTTTACTAATCTGCTAGAACAATGGCTGGGAGTGCATTAAATTTACAGATTTGGGGAAAATGGCCTTTTACCAATAATGAGTCTTCTACTCAATGAGCATGGAATGAATATCTTTCCACTTGTTCAGTCACTATTTTTTCTCAGTCACGTTTTGTAGTTTTAAGTATAAGGGACTTGGTTGTCTTGTGCTGGACTTATTTGTAGGTATTTTATTAGCATTACTATAAGTGGAATTTATTTTCCAATTGCTGCAAGCATACAAGAAGTTTTTTTATATTAACCTTTTATATTGCATCCTTGCTAAATTCATGTATTCTAGTTCTTGGTATTTAAATTCCCTAAGATTTTCTTTCTTTTTTTTTTTTTTTTTAGTTTTTATTTAAATTCTAGTTAGTTAACATACAGCGTAACGTTAGTTTCAGATGTACAATTTAGTGATTCAACACTTATATTCAACACCCAGTGCTCATCACAGCAAGTGCACTCCTTAATCCCCATCACCTGTTCAACCCAACCCTCCCCTCCCCGCCCTCCCCTCGCCACACACACCCACACCCCCACCCCCACCTCCCCTCTCTGGTAACTACCAGTTTGTTCTCTATAGTTAAAAGTTTGTTTCTTGATTTGCCTTCCTCTCCACCCCCACCACCTTTGTTCATTTGTTTGTTTCTTAAATTCCACATGAGTGCACTCATGGTATTTGTCTTTCTCTGATTTATCTCACTTAGCTTAATATTCTTTAGCTCCATCTACATTATTGCAAATGGCAAGATTTCATTCTTTTTTATGACTAAGCAGTATTCCATTGTATATATATATGCCACATCTTCTTTATCCATTCAGCAGTCAGTGGACATTTGGGCTGTTGTAGATAATGCTGCTATAAACATTGGAGTACATGTATCCCTTTGAATTAGTATTTTTGTATTCTTTGGGTAAATAGTAGTGCAATTGCTGGGTCATAGGGTAGTTCTATTTTTAACTTTTTTTTTTTAAGATTTTATTTATTTATTTGAGAGAGAGAATGAGATAGAGAGAGGGCATGAGAGGGGAGAGGGTCAGAGGGAGAAGCAGACTCCTTGCTGAGCAGGGAGCCCAATGCGGGACCCGATCCCGGGACTCCAGGATCATGACCTGAGCCGAAGGCAGTCACTTAACCAACTGAGCCACCCAGGTGCCCTATTTTTAACTTTTGAGGAAACTTGTTTTCCAGAGCAGCTGCACCAGTTTGCATTCCCATCAACAGTGCAAGAGGGTTCCCCTTTCTCCACATCCTCACCAGCACCTATTGTTTCTTGTATTACTGATTTTACCCATTCTGGCAGGTGTGAGGTGATATCTCGTTGTAGTTTTGATTTGTATTTCCCTGATGATGAGTGATGTTGAGCATCTTTTCATGTGTCTGTTGGCCATCTGTCTGTCTTCTGCCCATATTTTGATTGGATTATTCACTTTTTGGGTGTTGAGTTGTATAAGTTCTTTATATAATTTTAGATACTAACCCTTTATGAGATATGTCGTTTCAAATATCTTCTCTCATTCTGTAGTTGCCTTTTACTTTGTTGATTGTTTACTTCCCTGTGCAGAAGCTTTTTATCTTGATGAAGTCCCAGTAGTTTATTTTTGCTTTTGTTTCCCTTGCCTCAGGAGACATATCTAGGAAAAAGTTGCTACAGCTGATGTCAAAGAGGTTATGGCCTGGGTTCTCCTCTAGCCTGGGATTTTCTATGTTAAAAAAAAAAAAAAAAATCATGTCTGCAAATAGTGCCAATAGGGCTAGTTTTACTTTTGTCTGATATTTGTAGGGTTTTTTTGTTTTTTGCTTTTATGCCTTATTTCAAAGCCTAAGACCACAAGAATACAAGTGATGAAAGCAGGCATTCTTGCCTTGATCTCAGGAATAGCGATTTAGTCCTTTACCATTAAGCATGATATTGGTGGTTGAATTTTTTGTAGATGCCCTTTGTCAGGTTGAGGAAGCTACTCAGTATTTCCAGTTTGCTGATCATTTTACCATTAACAGATATTGAATGCTGTGAGATGCTTTTTTGGCATCAACTGGAATGATCAAATGGTTTTCTTCCCTGTATTCTGTCAATCTAGTGAATTACATTGATTAATTTTCAAATGTTAAGCCAGCCTTGCATTATTGGATAAGCCCTACATGGCCATGATGTATTATCTTTTTTATATATTACTGGATTTGATTTGCTAATAATTTGTTTAAAATATTTGGTTCTGTCTTCATGAGGGTATTTCTCTGTAATTTCTTTGATAGTATCTTTTTCAGGTTTTGTATTAGAGTTCTACTGGCCTGATGAAGTGAGTTTGGCAGTTACTCTCTATTTTTTAAAAAGTTCCCAGAGTATGGTTATTTCTTCCATGAATGTATGATAAAACCTACTAATGAAACCATCTGAATTGGAGTTTGCTATTTGGGAGTATTTTTTGATACCAAATTTGTATTTGTCTGTAAATGTAGAACCATTATTATCTATATCTTATTCTGTCTATAGAATCAGTAGTAGCAACCACTTTATAGTCTAGATACTGATATTTTGATTATATAATGTTTGATATTTTTTAGCATTCTATATAATTTTATCTTGACATTTTAGCTGTATCTCTTTACATTTTTTTAGGAGTTTATAGATTGCAATATATATACCTAAACTTCCACAAACTATTTAGAGTTAATATTGTATTATTTCATGGTAAATGTAGAAAATTTGCACCAATATGGGTTCCTTTGTTCACACTCAATTTTTATCTTATCCAGTAGTTGTCATATGTATAACATTTACATACATTGAAAACCTGATTAGATAATGCTATAATATTCATTTCCAATATTCAGTCTATTTTAAAGAACTTAAGGAAAAAAATTTTATTTTTGACAACATATTTGCCATTTCTGTTGTGCTTCCTTCTGTCCTGATGTTTCAGATTTCTCTGGTATCATTTCCCTTTAGGCTAAAATACTACTGGTGTTTCTGGTAGAGTAGATCTGCTGCCGGTCAGTTAATTCTGTTTTCTTTCATATGACAGCGTCTTTATTCTGCCTTCATTTCTGTAGGATATTTTTGCTAGCTCTGGAATTCTGAGTTTACATTAAGTCTGTAGATCTTGGGAAGAATTGCCATCTTAACAAATGAAAGATGTTATTCCACTGTCTTCTGCCCCCATCTTTTTTTTTTTTTTTGAGAAATCTGTGATTATTTGAATCGTTTTCTATATCAAATGTCATTTTCTCTATCTACTTTTAAGACATTTTCTTCTCTTTGGATTTTAGCAGCTTGATTTAGGATATGTGTAGGTTTTTTTTTCTTTGATTTTATCACAGAGATTCTTGAATATGCAAACTTATTTCTTTCAACTAAATTTGGGACTTCTTCAGTCATTATTTTTTCAAATAGATTTTCTGCCTTAGTCACCTTATTCCTCTATTTCTGGGACTCCAGTAATGGGTATTTTTGATCTTTTGATATCGTATAGGTTCCTGATGTTCATTTCACATTTTTCTGTTTTCCTTTCTTTGTGCTCTTCAGCTGAGGTATTTTATATTGGGTTATCTTCAAGTTTACTGACTCTTGCCTCTGTTATCATCAGTATGCTTTTGATCCTATGCAGTGATTTTTAATTTTAGATATGTATTTTAAGTTTCTCCATTTCTATAATTTTTCTAGTTATTTCTCGACTGAGATTGCCTGCTTTTCCATTAATTTCAAATGTGTTTTCCTTTATTTAATGGAGTATTATAATAGCTACTTTATATGTGGTTACTATGATGTTGGCATTTGTTGATTGTTTTTCCTGTTAGAATTGATCACATTTGTCTTGTTTTCTGTATGTTTAGCAATTTTGAGTTGTGCCCTAGATATTGTGGATGTTACATTGTACGGGCTCTAAGTCCGTATTATATTGTGCTGGAGATTGTTGGTATTTTTGTTTTTGTTTTAGCACGCAATCAACCCAGTTAGGTTCAGAATATAGGTCCACTGCCTCACAGTGATTCATATCACAGTTACCTTCTCAAAGCCTGTGTTTTGGTGTGCCCTGTGTGAGACAGTCAGGAGTTACTCTGAGACAAGGGCAGTGATTTAAAGGAGTTTAGTTCTCTAAATGGGCTTAGGTCTGCTCATCAAATGCGTAGCTCAGGGTTTAGGCTGAAACTTGTGTGGGTTCAAACATGGAACCAGGTCATCCCCTTCTCTGCTTGTTTCCCCTCTATGATTTTCCCTACACTTGCAAGAACCTCTTTTCCTGATTCCTCAGCTCACAAAGATGTGGTTTCTATTAGATTTCAGCCACTGAGGTTGCCTCCCTTGTAATATTGTATAAATGGAGTCCACATAGGAGAAAGCTACAAGAGAGATGAAGGGGAAAACTACAAAACAGGAAACTAAATGATGGTGTGTTCTAAGGCTTAGTCCCTGAACACCTCTATTTCCTCTCTACACTCACTCTCTAGGTGAAAGCATTCTGTAATTCCATAGCTTCAAACCTGAAAGCTGACAACTCTTAGACCTCTTCTAACCTCTGGACTAATATACTAGTTGCCTACTCAATATCTACAGTTATATATGTAATAAACTCTACTTGTCAAAAACCAAGGCCCTCCTCC